AATGTCTTAAAACAAAAAACAAAAATAATGTTTAAATAATGAGAAGGGTCATTTTTGTTGGTCATGAGGTCGAGACGAGTCATTGGAGATATCATTGGTTCGGTAATGACCTCCTCATTCACTCAATGGCCTCCATATATACCATAACTTAACACTTTGTCTGACAATCCTATTGTCTATAGACTATGAGATTTATCACAAATAAGAAATACAATAAAAAATATTAAATAAACTATAAATTAAACCGCGAAATGGCTTAATAGGCGCTATATTTAGGTATATTTGCGGTCAAATGCTTTCTGGTAATTGACGCCAAATTGATTTATGTATTGATGTGCCAATTGTGTGAATGGCCGGGTAGTCGCGAACTGTGGCACCTCCTGGCATGTGGCCAATGCCTCCATTTCTAGTCCCTATCGAGCCTTTTCTAAAGAGAAAATCTTCGCAAATATTGGTGTGAAAGTCGGTCTCCAAAGCGTTAACATCACATTAAGAGGTATTTTATTAATCCAACGATTTTTAGACTCAAATTAATATGAAACTTTTTTTTTGTCTTTTTTTTGATTGCAATCAATAGCGACACCCATTCATAGGAGAAATGAAGAAATCAATTACAACGAGAGGTTCTATTGGATCGGACGTAAGTGATCTGATTTTGCCTTTAAATCCAATTATGTCTATACAACTGAATTCAATTTTGAGATAAAGTAACAAAAAATAGTTTTTATTGAAATTGATTGAGAATCCAATCGAAACTTAATCTTTAACTAAAAAGCAATTATCGGTAAATTTATTGAAAACAAAATATAATTTGACTTGAATTTTGACAAAATTTCTTATAAAATCTGTAACTTATCATAATTACCCACCACCACCCAACCTACCCTCGCCCCCTTCAACATATTATGTGTAATGTTGGTTAAACTGTCATAAATTTATCCAAGATTTTGTGATTATAAATTATTGATTACCAATATAGTTAACTAATTAACTAATATTTAAATACTGTATTAAGTATAATGAGATTTGAAATTATACTGTTATAGATTGAGATTTGATTATTTTTGTGTAAATGTGTTTTATTAATATTTAAATTATCTACATATTAAAACTTTGCAAAACATACCATTAAATTTCATTAATTTAATGATACGCTTATAATTAAATTTATTGAAATGTTTGAAAATGAGTGCGACAGACAGTCGTATAACTATTTGAAAAGTAGGACACAATTGCTTAACGCAATTGAAATACTGTAGAAATTAATTATTTATAAATTAAATCATAAATAAATATCAGATGATCTTTGTTTTAATTTACACTTAAAACAATAGCAATGAATGTTTAGACGTACTGTATTTGAAAGGCACAGCAAACACCCAGTCATATAAGCCTTGAACATAATTTCATTGACATTCGTAATGTGAAAAACTATCCCAAGATTTTGGCGGACATTCATTAGTAACTTAGAAAACGTCAAAACTGATGAATTCTCGCGATTTATGATTTATAAGTAGATTTATGATTAGCATATGGAGTATATGGTTGTACTATAAAAATATAATTTAAACAAAAATCAATGCGAATATACCTTTGAAATAGTGATCTGTATTGAAGAGTACATTAATAACTGAATGAATGAATGGAGAGAATGAGTGCCTAAACCCTCGGAGCAATCATTTTAATTATTTCATCCAAAGATAAACAGAAGGCCTGTTCTGTTGAGTGAATGACAGAAATATAATTTGATTTTTCTGTTATTTAGCTATCGATCAAAATTTGAGTCAAAATATGATGTTATCGTCGAAAGCGATCGAAATGTGTGTTTTTCATTAAACAGTTATTTTTAGTTAATTTTTATTTTCTAATAATAAAACTATAATTATTTGATTTCTCTATTCATTAATGGGCTCCGACCTAATTGTGTTTTATTTTACAAACAAAAATTTATACAAACTTTTAAAAATCTTAACTAATATTCATCGAAAGGAAAGTAAAAGTAATTTTAAAATTTTGTTGTGTTTGTGGACTTCATTATTCATATTTAGATAAAACATAAAACAAAATAACAGATCATTACATGAAATACAATCATTTATTAATCAATAAAATTTTTCAATTTTGATATAATGTATTTGTGTTGAATTTATTGTCAATTAATTTAGGAAAAAATAAATGTTTGAATTGCAATACAAACTTAAGGGAAACCATATACAGTATGAATAATAATTTCCCCATAAATGCCTTATTTTCAGAGATAACAAAAATATTGTGATTACATTTAAAAAATAATAAACTTTTGTTTTTTCAACAATCCTTATGAAACGCAAATTTAATTACACGAAAAATGTCTAAAATATGTTTTTATTTCAAAATTATTTTTAGCGACTGAAATGAAACAAGAATTTCAGACAGCATTGGCTAAAGGACTGCCGTTTTCTATACTAACAATCGCTGAATATTTTAGTCAAGACGGGGAGGGATTCTGTTGGGGTCGCAGCTATCGACTGGCCGGCTATTATGCAAACATACTCTTATGGTTAGTGTGACACTAATTTATGCTCATTTAATAGTCTGAACAATTAGTACCACTATTAGACACCATTTGGTGTTTAGCTAATTGTATTACAAAATATTTATTAATTGATAAAAAATCATATATTGAGTGACTTATTGGGGATTCGATTTGAATATGAATTTTGTCCCACTTTTGCAAAAAATATATTTCACAACAAATACTACATGAGAAGCAAGAAATGAAATAATAGCTGAGAAATGAAGTGAACATTCAATGGGAAAGGAAATCACGTTTTCATATTCAAATTGAATTTCGCTTAAAAGTTGTATTATTTGTCAAATTAAAAGCTATGAAAATATTTCTTTTATGCCTACACTATAGGCATAACAGTTACAGAATAGTCTAAAGTGTGGGTGACTTTTGAAACTGATTTGTAAGATCTGCTATTCTCTAACATTTAATATAAGTATTATATTTATTATGAATACATCATAAGATGAGAAGCATATAAAAAGTGTTTTTTCTTAAAAGGTTTTTAATTTATTTTTGTTTTTCCTTCAATTTTGGCTTCAATTGTACTCATTGTCTAACATTTGTATTAAACATATCTCTAAAACATAACCAAATATTTAATTTTAAAAATTAAATAAACAGAGAAAATGAATAAAAATTGGAACAAGTATGAAAATTTCGAAAATTTAGCTCATTATCTATGATTGAAATTTGAGATTTTTTTCAATTAATAGTGAATCTAATTTAAAATAAATTAATATATAAGAAATGAAAACACGAAATATATATGTGATTAGAGGTTTTAGCGGAATGTTATGACAATGAAATTGCTTAAGATTTTCAATCATTTATTAGAGCGTAAAGATTTTGAAAAATGAAATATTCAATCAAACGCTAAATTATTTAGAAATAGTATTTAAAATTTTTCTATTTTTATTCGGAAAAAGTCTAAATCCAGTATTGTGTGGTATAAATTAGACATAAATCATAAAACTGATTTCACATATTATGTCAACCTTGGTCTCAATACCAATAATGGACGGATAAAAACAATCATTTAATGACAGATATTGACATTCAGTCGTCCGTAAAATAATGAATTAAAGTATAATTTAATTAACAATACAGTAGTGATAGAGATACTTGTATTAATGCAATGCAATGCAAGCATAATAAGTGTTATTGAATACATGTTTAATCATTGATTCAAGTTATAGTCATTTTTGAGTAATTTATAATAATTTCTAATGAATTTTCAATTTGCAATTGTATTGCTAGTGATTAAAAATAACTATTTTTGCTAAATTAATTAAATGTCGGTGCTATTGCTTAACTCATTAGTTTCATTGACACCACATTTCCATTACTTCCGCCCCTTATATCCAGAAGTATTGTATAATTTTATCTCAATATTACTTAAACAATAATTTTTTAATTTTTGCTTTTAAGTAAGCATTATATCATATTGAGTGCTAAGTAATGATAATTTTATACAATCAATACGTTTTGTTTAGCTAAATAAATAAATTATATTATACGAGAGTAATCAAGACATGATTTTGAAGATCATTTAGGGAAACAATTGTCAGACAATTGCATTGCATTTCATTTGCAATAAAGTGAATAAATTCTTGAATCTCTTTAAGAGATAAAAGAATTAATTAAACATTTAATTATTGTTGGGTTACAATTGATGTCACTTTTATTTGTTGTGTTAATAATAATAATATAATAAAAATAATAATAGTACAGAGAATACAAGAGAATACAATTTGTGAGATGTGGGACACGGAGGACATGGAGGAACTCGGCTTATCATTACAATTAAGTCGAGGGAAGGTCTCGTACAACATAACGTATATTTTAATAATATAAACCTTTTGTATAGTGAAAGTCTGAACGCATTATTGAAAAAAGTTTTTCTCATTCACGATATTTTTCTTTTGTAACGTCAGGATTGCATTTTCGACGTGGATTCTCATGAATGTGCTCTTGTGTGCCGTTCCCCGATATGGCGCATACACTATGCAAATCACTGGTGTAATCATGCTCTTAACCAATGCTATCTATACACTACTACTGCCTCGAAAGCCTCTCGTAATACCCTTTGAAGGCGAAAACCTTACGTTTACCTATGGCTGGTGTTTCTGGATTGTACTCATCGCAGGTAATACTGTACTCCACTTACCATTTCATTACGAACTTTTGAGCCAAACATTTATATACACTTTTCACATCTTCAACATGTGATAAGAAATAGTGAAATAAATTGAGGCATTAATAGGTCGCCAACATTATGCACTTACCTATCGTAATGTTGAACCCAACTGAGAGAGAGAGAGAGAGAGAGAGAGAGCCTGAAAGTCTGAGTGGCAAAAAAATTAATGACAATTTATGTGATCTAAAAGATAATTTTGTGCCAATTCTTCACAAATATTTGTGTCTTATATATAATATAAGTTGGTTTTGGGTTCACTTTCAAAATCAATACTTACAGAAGACATGATAATAAGCAATATTTAGGGATTCATTTTGAGGATAAAACATAATATAATACAATATAATATTTGTTTTGCTTTCAATGATAATACAGTACTTCTAGAGTCAGATTAAACGATATCCAGTAATTGTAGTCTTGGTCTTAGTCTTAAGGATGACTTTAATAGTCAGACAAAGATCTTCAACAAAAACTTTCTCTTAAGTAAAATGTATTATATTTTTAAACTCATTAAATATTAAGTGAGAAAATCTTAGAGCTTTTGTTATTATTGTTTTATTTGATCCCATTAACTGTTTAGTTAAGTAATAAAGTAATAATAATAAAAAATCGACACAAATTATACATTAAATAAATCACACTATGCCATTATTTTAGTTTTAGTCGTGAATTTCCATAGTTTTAATGCAAATTAGTTTTTTATTTGCTGTGAAATGCAGACGAAAATTAATTAATTGTTTGTACGATATTTTATCCAAAAACGTATTGCAATCAATCAAATGTAGTTAAAACGTCTCTTTTAAACTAATAATATTAATCTTATAATCGATTATAAAACGAAAATATAATATCGATTTTTCTACTGAATATTGAAACTAAATTTTCATTACAATAATTCATAAGAAAACTTGAATTTTCTGTTTAATCAACTGATTTCCTAATGTTTGAAAAAATGTGTAAAATTTTTATTCTTGTTGTGTCTTAAGCCACGGAGTAATCGATTTAATTAGAAAGCATTTCAATCACGATATTCTAATTCAAAGCTAATCTTTCATTGAAAGCGAAAATAATAAGAAAAATCCCAGAGATTATTAACAGAGAATATTGTATATTAATTAACTTTTTCTACTCTATTCGCAAATTTATGGCATCATATGTGGAAATACTATACCATTGAAAGTTATGTGTGCTCATAAACATTTGATAATTAAGCATAATTATCAGCTAAGAATTTCCAATTCAATTTAATCAATATCTCAAATGAGTGTGTATTCTACTCATAAAGTTATTTATTATTTTTTATGTAACATTGAATTGCCTTTAAAAGACTGAACATATTTGTCGTGATTTGAGATTTTAATAATAATTCAAACATGGAATTTGCAAATTTATAAAATTCATATAAACTTACAAAACATTTTATGGCTTCATTTCACGAATGCCTCGTTAAATAGTGTTAAATATCAATATTTATATTGACTGACAATTGCATTCAAAATACTTGATAAGAGTTCGTTCAGTAAAGACAATGAATTGCAAAATATTTCACTACTTATGTGTTTTCTTGAATTTATTACAAAAACTCATTCATTGAATTGAAAAACACGTTTAAATTGTTGAGATGTGTTAAGAATCAAAGGTTAGTGGCCTCTAGGCCTCCAGTTTACGCCACTATATATATGATTTATGTAGGCCTGGTAGTCTATGATTTATGTAGGAGTTTTGCAATGAATATTATTGTCAGATATAACTAAACACAACTCACATGAACCCATATATTGACATACAATCAAACAATAATTTTTGTTCATTTACTGTAAAATATTAATTGAAATATTAAATATGATTTTTTATCATTGCTTATTGTGAACAAATTAAATCGTAAATGATTAGTTGATCTGAAAATATTTTTTGATTAATTATGAAATTGAGATATAATTTTAATATGATATCAAAACAATGCTAAATGAGTTAATGAGAAATTTGAGCAGAATTTTGAATTTTTAAGTTGAATAGAGTTTTGCAATGATCTGAATTGAGTTGAAATAAAATATTTCCGATAAGATCTCTGAAAATAATTGTACATTAATTCAGTGTTGGTTTCATTATTAAAATGATTAAACAAATGCAGATAATCATATGGTTTTTATTGTACAGTATTTTAAATTTAAAAATTCAAATCTACTTCACTTTAAAAACTAAAATCTTTTATATACAGAAATCTTAACTCTTATTGTTTTAAAATTTAAAATATTTACTAATCATTTACTATTTGCTATGAAATGATCGGGAAATGAATGTTTCAAATGTTTAATTGTAGTGTACTTTGAATGTATAACAGGTGTGACCTCAGTATTGGTGGGAGCACTGGTCGCAATAGTTGACACACTATTTCCTAATAAGTTTTCAACGATTCTGGAGGTAGACTACGACACACCGTATCGTTACTTCGTGGGCAACGACGCCCATCTGATCGGCGCTCCCATACCTAATGGACACAACTNGGAGCACTGGTCGCAATAGTTGACACACTATTTCCTAATAAGTTTTCAACGATTCTGGAGGTAGACTACGACACACCGTATCGTTACAAGCACCCGTTGCTGCGGGTAGACTAGCCGCGAGGGTATGGATTACCTGTGTTGACAGGGGTGTGACGGCAGAGATTGTTTTCATACCGATTTCACAACGATTATCACATAACTGATTTTTCAAACACATGAATGGTAGGCTCAGGCGCCACGGACTCGACGGCGTGTTGTGGTCGAGCCGTCAACAGTCAAACTCCTGGTCGGCCACAAGTAATGAAGACGAAGAGCGATGCGTCGACTTCGACGGCCGCCGACCGCATAAACGAAGAGATGACCCCAACTGGTGATGAGTCGACAGTCACGACCGTCGCCCACATCGAGACCAACTCAGGCGTCACTAACTCAGGCTATGTTCAGGCAGAGGAGGACGAGGACAGTGATGTGAGCACTACTATCATCGACGGCAAGAGAGCCATATCTCTCCATAATTTCGGCAAATATGCGGCACAACAGCAACAGAGGGAACACAAGACCCCAAACTCTATTACATTAAGGCATAAGAACTTTGATTTGTATTATTAGTAGTGATTAGCAAATCACTTGCGAATCAATGATTTGCCCGAAAGTATCCCAAAAATAAAGTATTGCTTAACAAAACTCTAATGAAAATGTGATCAAAAATGATTAAAAATGCAAAAATAAATTATATATTTTAATTATTATTATATTATGGTCTGCTGTTTAGGACTTAATTTATTTCTCTATTCATTACCGATATCATAGTCTTATGATCTGATTGTGAGAATGTTTTCAATTATTCTGTGCCTTAATGTCTAAAGAATTCAATTATTGCTAACGATTTAGGATTTTATTTTTTCAATTTTCAATTGTATTATAAAATACTGTAATTTATTTCTGAAACTTAATTTTATTTGTTGTAAAACTGAACCATAAGTTTATTAATAAACAAATGATTGTTATATACATTTAAAATATTGTGTTTTA